TTCGAAACTTAACATACCTTTGGCGGGAACGTTGTAAGTTTTATTATTTCAATTTTTATAGTTATTATGTAATCTATCAATAGAGAAGGAGGCTGGGTACTAATTAAAACTAAACCCAAGCATACCACTGCAAGACCTCAAGACATAGCTCATTTTGCATAGATCGGACCATAAACAATAATTAAAAAGCTTCAGTCCCCCGTGACCAATGGGTGCTGGAAAGCACCCGTAACGTCGGGAATTAAAAATAAAACTAATTAAAATTAAACGCGATAAAATCCGTAAAAGTAGTTTTAATCAATGTGTAGTGTTCGCGTAAATATAAGAAATCATTATGAATAAACTATTTATATATTTATTGTACAACTTATGCTAAATTAAACATGTTACACTCAATTCAAAAAAAACTTAGCACCTAACTCCAAAACACTAAAAAGCATTGTATGCTCATCATTCACAAAATTATCCCTCCAACTAAGTACACTGTTCTATTTTTTAAAATCTGTGCGGAAGTACCGGGCGCGTGGTTGGAGGCACAGTGTACCTTTTTAAGGCTCAGACTAAGTTTGAGCCCATGAACTCTAACGCGTGCTGCAAACTACCAAATCTCAGCGTCTCTTCTAGTACGTAGTAGTACATATTGCTTCAATACGACTACTCTTGGTGGTTCCTGTACTTGAAGACAACGGAACATAATCCGCTAGATTTTAAAGCTATATCCTGTTGGATTCCTGCACGCGTGCGAAGGAGGCAGTACGTGCGGGTGCTGCATGAGTAAGCGAGATGGTGAGAGCTGATCGGGATGCGGCGCACGCGCAGTCTCAAGCGCGCCGCGCACCTTGCCGTACTTCCGCCACACCTCACTCGCAGCGCTCAAATTTTTTAAGTAAAAGCTGTGTTACTTCCATTGAGTATGTTAGGTTTATCAACGTGAACTAAATGAGATCACGTTGACGTGATCCAGATCGTTATTACGATGATCGCAGTGATAAGTGAAAATAATAGTGAAAACGTAAATGGGACGCATTGAGGTGTACGGTGAAAGTATTATTCAAATGTAAATATTAAACAACAGTTTGAACAGAATTTTTTACTGAATATGTTTAATAATGGTGTTTGATACGTACGAATTTGATGTGAAACAATAGTTTTAAGTTAGGTCAGCAGTTAAAGTTGGTTAAAGCACTTTCGTATTCCTATATTGTACACGATCGGGTGCTACCTGTGCCGCTAACTGTACCTGGTGCGGTTCCGCTCTGCTGATCGTCTGTTATTATGCTTAAATTCGGACGAGCACTGTTCATTATAAAGTCTACTGTTTCTGATAACTTTGTTTCGCGGTGTTAGCATTTTCTATTTGATATATAAGTCATAAATCAGTAAGGTTTTTTCAATATCATTTCTCAAAAAAATTCTAATGATTTAGCAATTTACCAACATATTTGTTAATGCCTAGAAAATAAAAAAGTAAAAGATCCTACTCTTTTTAAAAGGCCGGCAACGCATTCGCAAGTCCCGTTGTGTTGCAGTTGTATAGGTGGCGATAGTCACATACCATCAGGTGGGCCGTATGTTTGTTTACCCTCCATATACAAAAAATTAATGCAAAAATGGATTGCATTATTTTTTATATAAGGGGTCGTAATGGCGTTAATACAACCTAAATAAAATAAAAAGGATGTAAGTTATTCTATTAAAATCTCAAATGGTCCATCTGGATGGATAGCGCTTTCCTGTTTCTGCCACAAATTCCTAATCTTACCTCTTGTTGTAGTTGCAGGGGGCTCTAGTGGTACTCGCTTATCAAAAGTTGACAATGGTCCAGTCGTTAGACATTTTGATTTTTTCGAAACTCCAGTGATTTTTAAAGCTGAAAAAGTTAGCGGCAATAATTCAGATTGTTCTAGCTGGTGCTGTAGTCAGCCAACAGTCCGGTGAACATGTTGAACATGTTGCCGCCGTAGTTACAAACAAGATCATATTCATGATAACATGTATGTATGTAATTTAAGATATAAGAGAAGAATGATGACAGGATTCATCTAAAAAGAAAGAAAAGAAATAAATAAATTAAATATTTATTTCGCCAAATAATCGCCATAGTGTCCATAATATTTCCCATTTTAAACATTATTTTATGTTACTGGACGTTGAAAAATATAACGAAAATGTGTCGCACACAGCATTTCTCTTGGCGCGCCAGAGCCACTGATTTTCAGTGTGGCCCTCTGAGTGTATATAAATGACCTTTGAATATTAGAAATGAAAAGAAGATTGCCTCCAATTGATAAGCAATAACAAATATTTAATACAAAGCTGTATATAGAACTTGTAAGGTATCTACAAAATTAAACTACTCTTCAATAAATCTAATTCCATATTATGTATTCATTATTTTATTACTACGTAATTTTTATCACTATGATTAATCGTTTAATAACAACTAACAATTTTAACCATTATAGTTATGTAGTAAGTCAAAGACCTATTATTGTAATACAGTCAAGTCTGACAACCTTTTTAAGAAAGAGGAAATTACTTTGCCATCTGGGTTGTACCGGTACAAAATTACTATTAACACGGAAAGCGTAACGTTTTACGAGATATGCCATTTTTTGGATGAAAATACAACATGAGAGTTAATTTTGGCATTTTATTCTAACACGGAATATGTCGGCGAAGTAATCTCTTTGTCCAGTGCTCTAGAACTTCTGATGATTTTGTTTGCAAAGTTACAACACTAGTGATGCCATGATGTGACGGTTACTTTGCCATGTTTTGCTACAACCAATGGTTGTCACTTTCAACCTAAATTTTTAACCGAGTACAACGATTTAAAGAAAGGGTTCTGTACTTGACATTCTATGTATGTACGTTTGTCTCGATGTTTCTCCGTAGTAGCCCGTTAGACCGATATTGCCAAATGAGTTGTCAATCGATTCATCGTTATTTTGATGATTTCATATGATAAACAAAAGTGAAGGAAAAGAAAAGAAAAATGTATATAATTTTTACGACGTTGTCGGGCATTAATAATATTATTGCTATTCAGTATTTTTAATAATTTCGACTTAGTGTGTTGATATTAATTTGCGTCCAAAAACAGTGTCATTCTTAATAATCATTAAAATGATTTTTTTGTAGAATGTTTAGCTATTGTGGGAAAACTATATTTATGTTATTAACAATTATTTTTTTACCAGATCGTAGTAAAAATGATTAAGACAAGCTTTTTTTATAATTTTATATGTATGTACACTATAATTGATTAAAGCTTATTATTTCTCAATTTGATTTTTAGTTTTACAGGAGAGTATTTTTGTTTGATATAGTTTAGATTTTTGCTTATGAAATTACTGTGACAAGATTTAAATTTAAAAAAAAAATAAGAAAAGTACGTAATTCAGGATTTTAACAACCATGACGCACATTTTCAAGTTTGTAAGAAAAATTGAAAAACGGGAAGACAACTTTGCCACAAATGAAAACTTTGCTATTTGCTACACAACTAATGGAGCAAATCATAACTCTGAGTGTTGTGTATTATATTATGATGTAAGCTTACCTTCAACCTTGAAATCAAATATTTATTTCATTATAAATCCTGATAGCAAAGTTGCGACAAAGTGAGGTTAACTTTGCCATTTTCTATTTTTGGGTATTTTATCTACTTAATGTTAGTATTTGTTGAAAACACTAATAAATACCAAATTTATGAGGAATATAGTGTCACTTTTATAATTGACGCCCACTCTGAGAGTACCTTTTATGTTGGAAAATTGGTCCTAAACTTTTAAGTTCTTCGAAAACTGGCAGAGTTGCCAGATTTCACGTACCCGAAAAGTATGGTTAAGTTGTAAGATAGATCATATTTTACATTAACGCCAAATGTAACACTTAACTTACAATAAATATTTTGGAAAAATATTATGAATTTGAATTTGAGCAGCGGTCATCTTAATAAATTTAAATTAAATCGTAACAGTAATAAGCGAAAACTAAACACAAGACAATATTAGGCTATAGAAAATTATGTTCTAATGCTAAGCTGAAAATCTAGACAATAATAAAGAACAAAGATGGAGCCTAAATACAATGCATTAAAATTGAAAAAGCTATGGTAACTGATGTTAAGATGTCTTAGTGCATAGTTAACACTGACAAAAATCCATTCTCGAAATATAAATTATAACTTTCATACCATACTTTATCTTCTTTAATTTTCGAATAAAACACAATATAATGTTTCTTATTTTACAATATCATATTATTGCAGAAGTGAGTTACTTGTTTTCTTTAAGCATAACGCCTACAATTATTAAGGAAAAGACTCGTAGATCTTCTATACCCACTACACTCACAAAACGGGCTAAAAAGTCAGGAGGCGATAACTTTGCACTACTCCCATTTTTCATCCTGTGGAAAATAAATTGAGTTTTTTTTTTATAGGATAGGATGAAAACCGAGCACACAGTCCACCTGATGGTAAGTGGTTGCTGTGGCCCACAGACATCTACATCTATCCTCGATTACGAATCAAAATGCAGATGCGTTGTCATCCGTGAAGTCTTAGATGGAATGCTTCGTTTCCAGTAAAAAAGGTCTCCGGTTCTCTACACTCACCATACGAAACACAGCAGCATTAAGCTACTATTTGACGCTGGTATTCTGTGAGAGCGTGGTCCTTCCCCGGTCGAGCCGACCCATTCGTGCTACAACTATATTACTAATATAACTGCAGCATGGCTCTACCACGTAAAATTTATGTATTTTCAAATTCCAAAGTCAGTTAATTTCTTTAAGTATAAATTCATAATTGTTTTAATTATTGTATTCTTCGTAATATGTGGTAGTTAGTTGAATTCTAATGGATGATGTGAATACTTAGCTAATTAGGTCTTATTTTGCGTTCACAGAAAATACAAAAGAAGCATAACCCCAAGCGAGAGAGTGTGAACCAAGCGATGACGCCGGGCCACCCAGCCTGAGGCCGTGGAGAAATGGCGCTGCGGGGTGGCGGTGGCGCGGGGGTCGCGCGGAGCGGGGGCGGGGACACGCAGCGGGCGCTGGACGAGTTCGAGCAGCTGGCGGGGCTCCGGGGTCGCGCCGCGTACGTGCTGGAGCACCTCGCCACATTCACCGTGACCCGGGAGACCGGCATCGTGTACCCAGCCGATGGGATGCGCCGGCTGCTTCAACTGGAGAAAACCAATGGTTTGTACCAGAATCTCCCAACATTAACATCGATCTAGTCGTCGATTATTTTCTGTTACCGTCACAGCATACTAAAGTGTAGTGCTGAAAATAAGCCTTCCCCATAGATTGCCCCATAGGCGGGATATTTGCCACAGTTGCCACGCTTAGGAAGCAAGTTGGCAGCCGCAGTTTTTTTATTTTTATTACACGGGAGGATAGTGGATATTCTTACTACTACACGATATTTTTATCTGAATTTATAATAAATTATATCTTTTAGGAATATGGAGTCAGAAGATGCAACTATGCTTAGAGGACCAGTGGGTGCTGGTCATGGACTATGAAACAGGGGTATGTTGTTGTATATTTAATTATTTTGAATTTCATTCCAAGAATAAAAGCATTCCAGTTTATCTTTTAATTGATTTTGGTTAACCAATGTCTTCAGTACGCTATAGTTTCGTTCTTCTGTATACTCATAGATATGAAGATGACTTTAAGCGAGCATAAACGTCACTCGATGGTAAACTGAGAGCTGTTGTCCATGGCGATCTCCATCTAATCGTAATTAATTACCAAAACGCAGATACTTTGCTACACCTGAGGACTATGATGGAATGACTCTTTCTAGTAAAATGTGTCTCCGGTTCTCTACACTCACCATACGATATAGTTAAGTAACTATTTTGGCTATTCTGGGACAGCGTCTAATTGTTGCAATTATACTCTAACCACGTAAAAATTTTTTTGCGTATATTCAAGAGATACAATGTACTCACCATACGAAACAGCATCATTATATTACTATTTTATATGGGTATTTCACATTCTAAGCGAGCGTGGTGCTTCCCTCTCTTATTGTTTTATAGATAGAATAAGGGTGTCAAACGAGCATACAGTCCAACTGATTTTAAATGGATGCTATGGCCTATTGACATCTACATTTATCATCCGAATCAAAATGCAAATGCGTTATCATCCCTAAGGACTAAGGTGGAATGCCTGGTCTCCAGTGAAAAAGTCACCGGTTCCCTACACCCACCACATGAAACACGGCAGCATTAAGCTGCTATTTGACGCTGGTTTTTGTGGGAGAGCGTGGTCCTTCGAGCTGACCCATTTGTGCTACAACTATAGTATAGATGCAACAAGGCTCTACCATTTACAAGAATAATAATAATAATATTTTCCTTATGACGAGAATCTCGTGAAAGCCGAAACAGATAAGAAAACAAATTATCTGAACGTAACTCACGAGGTGACCGACACATGGGGTGGTTTGCCAACATCACATTGAGCATCATAATGAGAATACTCCATGAATACCCCAAAGTAATAACGCAGATGCAGAACGCGGTGCTCCTCGATCTTAAATGCAGAAGCTGATGCTCCTCGATACCGCCCGCATCGTTCGCCTTCGGAAAGCTTGGGGGAGGCTTTCTTTCCCTTTCTCCCTAACAACTCTCTCTCGTTTGTTCTTCTTACCAAGGGCTTCCATCGCATTGTGTTTTTATTAATTAATAATAATAATGTTTTTGGTCAGTCGATCATGGAGCGGTTCCCAGCTTCTTACGTGCACTCGCCGACCGCGTTTACATCGCCGGAGCCTGGCGAGCTGTACAACAACGTGCTGGCCTTCGTGGTGGGTGCCCCGGATGCGCGCCGCGAGCTCCACATCTTCCAGTGCCACGACGTCAGCGCGCAGACCCTCGTCGAAGAGCTCAACGCGCTCAAGTAATTATTTTTTTATAAAACAGGGGGCAAACGTGCATGCAGCTCACCTGATGGTAAGTGTCTACTCCCGCCTATCTGCAACTCTAAGGATTTGCAGATATATTTTCGGCCTTTTAAAAAGAAGTACGCTCATTTTTTGAAGACCCTTGACACGTATCGGTCCGAAAACTCCCCGCCGCCGTATTAAATTTGAGTTTAAACTTTTGAACTTCTGCTTCATAGCTTTTTTAGAAACATTAGGAGGCCTGAGCACGTGCAACATGGTCTACGTTGTACGCGCTCATGCATCCTAATGACCACCTTACACAACATATAACAAAACCTTGTGCTACATAATAGATATAATTTCACAAATTATTTTAAATCAAATTTAAATAAAATTTTATTTGCAATTTGTTTGTTTTTTACCCTCTGCATTGGCCGGGCTGTAAGAGTATTTTGAAAAGATCCCACTTTATCGATGCGCATGCAAGAGGTAATATTTTTTATGGCCGACTTTTCTGTTCTAAAGTTATTTTTACATGTTTGAATTTTGATAATGCCCTTACGGGAACCATTACGTTAATGTTATATATTGTATTGCCATAGCTGCCACCCTTAACAGGTGAGTTGGCAAATACAGTTGTACAGTTGTACAGGGGTGCGAAGTACTGCCGGTGCGCTGCCCTTTTCTTTTTCGAACTTTTCTGACATACTCTATACCTCTCACTGACACTTGAACAATGTGTTCAAATTGTTTTTTGTCTTTTGTCTTTTTGAATTAAAAGAGGAGATGGGCAGCAGCATCTTCCAATACCATCAGTCCGCAAGGTCTCTGGCTGGGCCTCCTCCACAGTAGTGAGAGTCACAGAGTTTTTTATATAGAACTAAAGGTGAATTTTCTATAATTGCACCGCAGAAAGATTGACAAGCAAAGTTTTAGTTGTTTTTAACGATGCTTTTCGTGAAATATTTAGGTGTATACAAACAAGCCTTAGTAGCTCAGGGACTAATAGCTCGTTGTAAGTTTTAGACAAAAAAGTAACCCGTTATACCACGGCCCAACGCCAAATAATTGTAAATTCCAATTTAAATACTGATTTAGCACAAACCCGGTAAGGAAGAAAAACATTGCAAGGAAACCTGTATATCTATAAAACATTTCGAAGGCACGTGTATTCTGTTAACACATACTGAAGCAGCATGACTCACTAACTGCTCAATACCGCTCCAAGTAATACCGTGTAGTGGCGATGTAAGAACACACACCGTCATATACGATCCCGTGGGTGTCGTAAATCTTCCTTATAACGACTTAAAATAAAAAAACCGCGGCTGCCCACCAGCTCGCCAAGCGTGGCAACTATGGCGAATATCCCCACTATGAGGCAATCCATGGGGCCTCTATGTTCACTAGTGGACTTTTATAGACTGTAATGTATAACGACTTGTAGAACACAGATCATACGAATTTAGGAGACGTTAAATAAGCAAATGGCACCGTGCATAAGCCACACTTAAAGAATATTATTTCAAGAGCACATGTTTAATCTTATCGTGAAGATACGGAAGATGACCTCGGATGTGAAGAGATGAGGCTTAGATCAATCGAGATGTGTGTACCGGCGGATGCGCACGCGCGCACTCCAGCACCGCGATGATCCACTTCCGACCGACCGTACTGCTGCCCGTTTCCGCCTACTCCTGGTGTGATAAGAACTTTATTATACTAATGGCTAAATACTCAAACGTACTCAATTTAAACTCAATTTTAAGATGTCGTTACGGCGCGTGGTGTCACAACACAGTAACTTTGACTTAGTGACAGAGACAGTACGAGACTTGACGGGGTGTTAACATTGAACGGCGTATGAGTATTTGGACATAGCACGCTTTAGTTGAACTCGTCACCGTGTTTCTATTTTAATTGGCTTCGTTGTATTTTATAATGATAAACACGCTTTTAGGCCCACGGTCTTTGTTACTTCTACGGAAAACGTGAGTCTACTAATAATTGATTTTGAATCGTAGCCTAGTGATTAAATTGTGCGTGTGCCCAGGGGAGTCGGCGGCGGTGCATCAGCGGAGGGCGGCCGCGACTTCATCATCGAGCGGGAACGGGAGAGAGAGAGAGAAAGTGAGATGGAACGACCCCGGCGACAGGTAACAAACAAGAACCTCATCTTTATGGATTTTATTAATATCAAGTGCTTGTAACACATATTATCACGATCGTCATCATCATACAGCCACGATGGTTAGCAATATTAAACGCAACCAAACACTGTGTTTGTATTATTATATTCCCTAGATAATACGTATTTTTCAAGCTAATATATTAACATAATAAAGTGATTGTTGAGGTTACTTTGACGCTGTTGTTATAATAAATTGACACAGTTTCTACAACCAGTTCTACAGTTTCTAGAACCAAATTGATACCGTTCGTATGTATTAACTTTATCACATTACTTGTTCTTATCTGATAAGCGTCACTTATCATCTGTTTTATCAATTATATTGCTTATTTTAAATATACAATTAATCTATCGCAAACAAAAGAAATATCGATGTATGAAATACTTACTTTATAAGTTAATTTACGTCTCAGCTATAAAACACCGCACACTATGCAGATTATAATACAAGAATATAATGATAATAATATATTGTTTAATATATAATATAGTAAAAATAATTAAGACCATACTTTCAAGAAGAGCTAATTATCTTACGCTCACAAGATGTCGTTTGTTGAGACTGAGGTTTTTGTATTGCGTCATTAAATTTAAAAAAATATATAAATTTCCTAAGAATTAAATTAATACGCAAAACAATGACTCAGTGCTTTAATTTTTTGAATATTTTCACTCATCTATTAATTATCTCATATCATTTAATAATTAATCTAACTAATATAATATAATATGTAACTAATGAACTAATAATACAGAAAGAAACATTAACCTTTACATTCCTAACAAACTAACCTGCCCGCTATGAAGTATGTCAAATATTTGACGTCATTACTAAATGGCCTCGCTCTAGGAGCAATTAGTTATAATATTCTAAGTAATTTTTACTTTTACCACTAAGTACTTGAGAAAAAGAAATAATCCTGGGTAGAACCAAGAAGGATCCAGTGGAATTTTTTTTTTCGAAAGAACATTTTACAACACAGTGTGTCGTCGTGTGTAACCGATTGTTATCGCTCTCCTATCAAATACTGCTTTTGACGTTGTTAGATAAAATATTTATGAGATATTTTATTTTTATGATAGTGGACTTAATTCGAGTAGTAAAAAATTGTTAAACAAGTAAATCGTCGTATAATGCAATAGTTTTAAAAAAGATCACTAATCGGAGAGATAACAAGTCTTGATCGTTTGCGACACGCTTTAGAACCCATGGGTCAAAACTAGCTTAGTCTGTGCCATAAAAAGCACTCTGTGGCTCCGACCACGCGCCACGCTCTGCTGCACGGATTTTGTTCGCGGTGTCTGTTCTAGTACATAGTATAGTACCTACATATTATGTTAATTGCGTCGCAGATACAGGTCTTACGTACCGCAAATGTAGGATAATCTGGCGCGGATTAAGCGTGGCTTCCCGGAGGCATGTCAATGGCGTAGCACTCGGCACCGGCCTTGCGGGCATGGTGCATGCACTTCTATCACATGCTCCTTGTTTTTCTGTTTTCCTTTACTTTAATTTCTCCTGTACCGTGGAGGCACTTTACATATATAAATTTAACAAGGACAATCATCCAGACCCGTAACAATTATTTGTAGATAATTGATAGAATCAGGCGTTACTATGCGGAAATCAATTATAATAAAAAATAAAAATATAAATTTCTTTGCAACCTTCCGCTAGCGGTCAGCCGCCGTAGAGTCTACATTACCTGAAGATACCTCGTGTAGAGGCGAAACACGTGTCGTATTATCGTCGATGGTGTGTCTTACCTGGAATAGTGGTGTTGGGAGTAGTGGTGCTGGGACTAGTGGTGACGGAGTTAGTACATGCAATTGAGGAAGGGCGGGAGGTGCTCTTCAATCCAGGTAAGGCACATCATTGTATTTATTTAGCGAAAGGTTGCAAAGAAATTTATATTTTTATTTTTTAATTATTTGTAGGCCATATAATACTTGTTCCGTGCAAGATTCAAACCGCGACCCTTAGCTAAGGACGGAGCACGGAGGTGGCGTAACAGCTACACCTACCTAGGAGGTCAACTCGTATCGCATTTTGATTCTTAATCAAGGGTGTGGGCAGTATGTTGGTTTGTTACCTTTATTCTATATTAAAAAAAATCGTGAATGCGGGCAGCGATTCCGCTAATCCATTCTTTTAACTGTAAGACCTTATAGGGTCTTGGTCGGCTAGTACTTATGACTTAGTTAACAAACAATAAACTAGTAATGTCCTCCAGACCGTATTTCGGTCCCGGTGGCCAATCTCAAAGGAGGCTAGTGTGTGTGCAGGACAGGATTATTGTGCGCGAGTGTATGCGCAAGCACAGGTGCACTATCTCTTCCCTCACTCTGGTAGTCTGATGGAACGGTAATGCGACACGACCAGAGAAAGAGAGAAGGCGCATTACCAACGACTTTATGTGCTTTTTTTTTTCTTTTTGACTCCTAGTTACTACTGAAAATTTCTTGACCGAAATAACCATTTACTGATTTTGGCCGGCCCTGGGCTTTCATGATCAGCAACCGCACTAGACCAACAAGGCAGATAAACTAGGGTTTTGTTTGTCAACAGCAAATATCAGCGCAACTGGGTCGCAGCGAGAGAGCTGGCTCCGGCGGAGACAGAGACGACGCGTCCTCGACCGGTTCCGAACGGCTGTACGAGCAGGACATCGCGATCCTTAACCGGTGCTTCGATGACATAGAGAAGTTCATCGCGCGGCTGCAACACGCGGCGGCCGCGGCGAGGGAGCTCGAACGACGGCGGCGCTCCCGCGGCGCGAAGCGTGCGGGAGATGGGATGCTGGCGCTTCGTACCAGGCCGCCACCGGAGCGGGACTTCGTGGACGTGCTACAGAAATTCAAGCTGTCGTTCAACTTACTGGCTCGTCTGCGCGCGCATATTCACGACCCGAATGCGCCAGAATTGGTGCACTTTTTATTCACGCCGCTGGCGCTAATCGTGGATGCTGCACAGGATGTAGCGGATGGGAGACTGCCAGCGCGCGTGGTTCAGCCTCTGCTAACGCGGGATGCGCTCAACCTGCTCGCCAACTGCGTCACCAGCAAGGAGACCGAGCTCTGGCACTCGCTCGGCGACGCCTGGCTCATACCCAGGTACGCTAAATCACATCCCTAGCCAATAAAACGTGTGTGAAGTTCACACGCGGTAAAAGTGCAACTTTCATAAAGGGAGACCAGGATAACAGGAAACACTGTATAATGCATTCTATCCCTATTTTAAGAAAAAATGTTTTTTATCGCATAAGAGTGACAAACGCGCACACAGTCCACCTGGTGCTAAGTGGATATTGTAAGTCATAAATATCTACACTTGTCCTCGATTAAGAATCACAATGGAGATGCGTTGTCGACGATAAGGAAAGCCTCGTATCCACTAAAAAGGGTATCTGTTGTGTTTCGTATGGTGGGTGTAGAGAACCGGAGACCATTTTTACTGACAACAATACCTTCCTACAATAATCTTAATCCTCAGAGTTTAATCCTAATCTACTTTTCATCAGGTGGACTGTGCTCGTTTATCACCATTATGCTATAAATAAATATATCGAAGAGAACTATAATTAGCTATGGGTCTCTCCATTCTCCATTAGCTGTTAAAGAAAAAATATATAAAAATATGAATATTTTTTCAGAGAGCAATGGAAAACGGCCATCCCGCCTTACCAGCCGGTGTTTATGGACGGCTGGTCGCCGGATTACCAGGTGGATGATCAGCCCTTGCGCAGGTGAGATCCTACAACCATTAGTATTTGTGTTGAATAGTTTTGTATTGTGTTGTGCTGTCCTGTGTCGTTGACAAGTAAATTCTCAAGGACGTCACCACGGCGGGAGTCATCGCGGGGTGAGGTGCGAAGCGAGGTGCGAGCGGAAATGCGGGGGGAGGTGCGGGGTGAGGTTCGGGGAGAGGTGCGAGAGGAGGTGGGAGAGGTGGGTGCAGAGCGGAACGACGGGTACGCCTACGATCGCGACGAACCAGATCTCTACACGGACCAGTACCCTCCATACCCCAGGTATTATTATCTGTTCTCAGCAAATTTGTATTACTTAAAACTAATGATATCAAAATCTAGTCAAAGCTTATTTATTGAAGCTGCATTATTTCCCATAATAATTCCCGTCCATAATTGTATCTTTCATACGTACATATTATGTAAACAACGGTTCTTCGTGCAAAACGATGGAAAACATCACACGATGGCTGGAAAACATCACAGCGATTAGACCAGCTAACGTACCTTCTATATAATCTATTTCTATTTGTTTTGATTTTAATGTGTTGGTGTACAATAAAGAACATATTGATTGATTGAACCGTGGAACGGGGTAGGATTATCCACTATCCCATAACGTCCCGCGGGCGGCGCAGGAGGCGCCAGAGGAAAACTAGAACAGAAGATGGGTGCCAGTATTTTCCTGATAGCAACATAAAATAACAAAAACTGCGGTCACCACTCCGCCTGCCAAACGTGGCAACTGTGGCAATATCCTCCCCATGAGGCAATCTATAGGAGAATCCTAGCTTCAGCAGTGAACTTTTATAGGCATTTAGCTTTTAATCGGTGATTTTTGATATCATAGAATGATATCAAAAATCACCAATCATAAAACACATTCCTGTGAGCAATTACAACACTAATCAAAGTTTCATTAGTCACACATCTTTTTTTATTAGCCAATAGATTAGATATAGAAATAACCTCATTGGTAAATTATATAATGGAAGCGAACTGAATATGACCTGACAATTATAGCATATTACTTTAAATTGAAGTATATGTCTGTAATATCGAAATAAATGGTTTCTATTGCATTGAGGCGGTTATTTGAACGCACTTAAAACATGAACAATTCTTTTTAAAATCTTCGTTGTCTGTCAGTGTGTGCGGGCTTACCTTCTGAACGGCTGAACCGGTTGTGTGGAAACTTCACAAACAGATAGAGAGCACTGCCAGGACTGATCTAGATTATATTTTAACCGAAACACTTTGACATTAAAAAAATTTATAGAATAAAAGTCTTTAAATATATTAATTCTAAACATCCTATTATTCCTAGGTGAAACCGTGGCGTGTTGATAGTTCTATAATAAAATTATACCTACAACATTTTTGAAATCAGAATTTGGCTGTTTCAATTTTAAAGGAGTTTTACATTTGAAAACAAAACTCAAAAACGAGTCCTCATGTGAACCTGTGACCTTTAAGTGAGCATCCACAAAGAATATTCTGAAGTTATGTACATTTATCTGTAATAAATATCTAAGATATTCTAAAGACATCTTTGATCATATAAACGTTACCCTCGCCCACCTCGTCAGACTTATTTAAATTAACAGAACCTTACTTTCTACAAAAAGACATACGAAAATTACTTAAAATATTGAAATGCTAATGGTCATAGTACCAATAGGTCATCACAAATGTGTCCATATTGCCTTAGTTTCATTGATGCTTTACCAATGAACGCGAATTTTCAGGAATACGAGATCGACAGCCCGGGAAGACTCCGGTTCTGCAGCCTCCTCACCAGAACGGGAACCGCCTTACCGTGGTCCAGATCGAGATGATGGTCAGTAGTTTTTCCTTAATTACACCATAAGGAAATTTCCTTTAATTTTTTTATACGCACACCCTTTTGCGCATCAGGCCATCCTTATACAAGTAAATAAGCATATAGTTCAGCTAACGACGAGTTACTGTGGTCCAGTGACAGCTACACAAATCGTCAAACAAAACGCAGAGTACGAAGTGCCTCTGGTTAATCTTTCTTCCCTATCAGTAGTCAGTTCTTCGAGTACTATGGCCCACTCATTGCCACTTAAACATGCTGATCTAGGTGTGACTATTTCCTGTGATGTTGGTGCTGTTAGTCAGTTGGCTTTTACAGCGTTATAAGCTTGGCGTTCGCAGCCATAAAGGCGTCAAGCTTAAAAGACTGCCTGACTGTCCGACTGTTATTTACTGTCGTTTTTCTTCAGATATCCTTATTACGACGAGAAATTCAGATCATAATCCTCTCCCTACATATGCACATATATAAAACTTTGTTATCAATTACTTGACTTATTTAAAGCTGTTATAAACATCAGAATCTACATCAATAAATCACACGAACAAGACCTTCTCAAAGGCAAAACTACGATTTTTATTTTTCAAAACCATGTTACAATTTTATTTAAATTACAACTTATAATAAAATAATAAAAGTCAGTAAATGTTTTCAAAATGTCTAAATTGTATCAGGGGACTTACAAATGCAGAATGAAAGTTGTTAAAAATTAAGTAGTAGATATTAAGTTTTATTCCTTTCCTTTTGTGATAAATACTTAAAACAGTTATATTTTTGATTAATAGTAATCATATGATGATGTATCTGTTATGTACCAAGTGATTATTATGTTATTTATAATGTCCAGGCAGTTTTAAAATTGCCTAATATGGGTAGGTAATATTGTGATAAAAACTAGTTAAATAAATTACACAGGTCTTTGTGAATAAAGCACGTTACTTATTGGGCAAACCGGCAGAGTAATAAAAAAGATAGGTTAGGCAAGGTTAGGTTAAAACCAGATAATGTGATCAATAATGAAGTTTTAATCATTATTTGTTATTTAGCGCGACTTGACTTGTCGTTATCGATGTACGTGCTATGGTGGAGCAACGCTACAGCTGTAATATGATTGTAAAACGAATGGGTCATCTCGACCGGGGAAGGACCACGCTCTCATACAATACTAGCGTGCAATAGCAGTTTTTTTTTCGTATACCGTGTGTAAAGAACCGGTGATCCTTTTTACTGTAAAGTAAGAAGGATTTCAGGTTCTAAGAAAAAAGTGTTAAAGTAGTAGATCGGAGCGTGAACAAACTTCCTCACGGCTTAGAACAGTTGAATCGACTGAGGCGGGGAAAACCGAGCCTGTTGCTCCCGCTCCCGCGCAGCCGAGGGCTTCCGAAGATTACCGAACGGTCGAACAGCTATGGCCTCGCCACCACAACCGTTATTCCATAATAGTGCACGGGCACTATAACTATCATAATCAGAAGCACTCACGCTTGTCACCCAGACGGGTGGGCAGAGACTACGGACTTCAGATTACCACGATCCTGATACACCTCCCTCGCATCCTTTACATCCATATACCTACGCATACATGCTCGCCGGTTATGGGTACTCTTAATCTGGCCCATCTTCAATATATCGCCAATATGGTCGATATACCTTCGTCAAGGGCGTCTCTTGTCGGCTCTGCCGTTCACTTAGCCCATAATATATATATTACATAGGTAGAATTGTTCGCAGACGAGCTGGGCGAGGCGTGGGCGCGCGGAGTGGCGGCGCGCGGGGGGCGCGTGGTGCGCGTCACGTACCCGCGCACCGCCAACAACGACAAGGAGCTGTCTGTCGTGCGCGGGGAGTACCTCGAGGTACCACCACTTACCACACACCACCCACTCACCACTCACCACTCACGACCACTTCCGCTTACTTTACACTACACGTTGACCATTGTAACCCATAACCACCTAAATCACCAAAACTGGGCACTTCATTTAAAATAGTAGTGTCCGACGGAAGTTGTTTTTATCTGATCTGACAAAGTGTTATAATTCTCTTTCAATTTAAACACATAAAGAGAATCTAGGGATATTTTATATTTCATCAGACATCTAAAAGTCTATGAAGAATTTTCTGATATAGTAAATGGAAGAATTACAGATTATTTTAAGGTCCTTAATAAAAAATAAAAACATTTCGTAATCTCTTTGTTTTAAATAAAAATGTAAATATTTTTTATTTGCCGTAGAAAAACTTAATTTCTTCTAAAAAAACTATTAGTTTTAATTAAAATTGAAAAAATCTTATAAAATTTGCCACCTCTTACATTAACTACACATTGACATCGATTGTTCATATTTAAATTAAATTGTCAATGTCTTGTTACGGTATGGAGTCCCATGTTCTTTGCAAACGTTCGTAAAGTTATTGTGCTGTCGTCAAATTTGGCGGGAAATCTCTCAACTTCTACTACCTACTCGCGGTATTTATGTGCAGTCATGCTGCCTTGGATGCAAACGAGCTAGGTTCGCACACCATGATTGGCCCTGGTATGAGTGGCCCTCCTGAGAGTGCCGTAGACGGCTAACCCTCCGTGGAGTTTTCCAAACGCGTGTTTTTTGTGAATCCAGATGAAAGTCAAACCAAAACTCTTCGGTGGACAGTACCAAAGACCATTGTTCGTCACTGCATGGTAAATGCTCCCGAGCACACGAAAGCAGCCGATCGCGATTGCCACGTCGTCAACAATCTAATCCTTAAGTTACATCAAGAAAAATTCAAATTGTTTTACGGATTAATAAATGAAGTTATTAATCCGTAAAACAATTTGAATTTTTCTTGATGTAACGAATTACTAACAATTTTTCCGCTGTGTTTTGTTTTATTTTAATTTATATTTTTAAATTTTGAAAATAATATAAAAGAGTTTTCAATCTTTATAAACTTTTTTTATGGAAGCTAAAAAGATTTTAAACTATAAATCCGTAAGTAATTTAGGATTAACGTATCCCTAGACTCTTTTGATGTGTTTATGTAACGAAGAATACACTAACTTTATCTTTTCCAAGCTCCACACGCTGTACTTGACATACTTCTAACGAGTATTTGACATCCGAATGATAACTTAATTAAGAATAAATCCAATATGCCTTATTCAAATGGAACAGACAAGTATATGAGCTCATCAAATCAATTTATTAGCTTGGTCATCACCAACTTTCTTGAACAAGGGTCACAATGCGCAGGTTTGGTGAGTTCACGGAAAAGTCTATATCCAGTAGTGAAATCAAGTAGTTAATACTTGTTATTATTCCTTCAATTAATGAAGGATAGAACCTTCTGTAATTGTTCCTTAACTTTTTATAGAAATTGTTTTCATTCCCTTTTATTTAAGTTTGTTTTAACGTGGAATGAAGTGTTATCAATTTATTTGTATTGTTCTTTTGTAGTTTAGCGCTAACGACAATAATGTCCTCCAGACCGTATATCGGCCACGGCGGCCTGCCTCGACGGAGGCTAGCCATCGGCGCAGGACAGGATTATAGTGCCCTAGTGTATGCGCATGCACAGGTGCACTCTCTATTCCCTCACTCTCATGATGGGACGGTAAACCGATACGACCGGAGAGAGATCAGGCGCAGGACCAACGGCTTTACGTGCTTTCCAAGGCACGGGGGTGAGACACCGCCAACTTCTAGACTCCGGGCAGCTACTGAAAATTTCTTAACAGAAAAACTCAATAATTGATTTTTTGGCCCGACCCGGCACCCAGGGCCTCATGATTAGCGGTCGCACTACTACAACCACTAGACCAACGAGGCAGCTAGTATTAGTATAAGAATCCTTTGAAACTTACGCAAGCTGCTGAAAATATCGGTGTGCAATAATTAATGCCCTCCGGACCGAATTTCGGTGACGGCGGCCAGTCTCCTCAGTTCCCGAGTGCGAGCAGAGGTGCACTCGTTATTCCTCCAATCCTATAGTGCAATGCGACACGAACGGAGAGAAATCAGGCTCAGGATCTATGGCTATGGCTAACGACAGTATACATATTATGTATATTGTGTTATTTTTAGAATAAGGGATAGTCAACTAAAGTTTTAATAACAGCAACACGTCTCCTTCTTTTTAACACCTCTAACATTAGGTACACTTTGTAAGATGATCTTGTTCAGAGAAAGTCTGAGTTATAAAATAAATAAGCAAAAAGTTTTACTTAGCATATTGCGTGAGTTCCTTCACTCACACGTAAATCCGATAAAAAACCGTCTTAGACGTGTGAATCAGCTTCTGGACAAATGTCTCCCAAGAAATATTTAATAAATGTCGTTTTGAGACATTCACGTAGGTAGAGCATCGGGTAAAAGCTATTTTTTAATAGATTAGAAGTGAATTAGAGCCGTGGTAACTCAGGGGCTTAGCGTTCACTCTAAATTTCACAGGACGCCAGCAACTTCGTTTCGATCCCAGCTAGCACCAATAAAATTGTTAATTGAAATTTTAAGTGCTGATTTACCACGTTCTCGGCGATGAAGGAAAACGTCGTGAGGAAACCTGCATATGTAAGAAGTAAGAAAAAAATATTTCCGAAGACATGTGAAGCTCGCCAATATATATTAGTTCCTTGCCCTAAGATCCTCTCAGAAATAAAATGAGGTTTTATGCCTAGCAGTGGAACATATTTAAGCTGTGACATTAACTTTAACGAGTGAATTATCGCATGATACTGAGTGAGTGCTCTGCGTTGTGTGCAGGTACTGGATGACTCGCGAAAGTGGTGGAAGGCGCGCAACCGGCGCGGCGTGACGGCGCACGTGCCGCACACCATCGTGGCACCGGCCTTCTCGCCACCCGCCTCGCCGCACCTCTACCCCAACCCCATCTACCAATACCATCACCATCAGGTCACCACAATAGAATAGAAACATTACTTTTGTTCAATATATTTTACAAGAATACTCATTGAAAGTAATTTGACCTTTACCCTTGATTCGTAAAAAACCTCAGTCTTGGGAAGAACCAACAAGAAACCAAGCGAGACTGTTGTTAAGTAATTTACAATATACACTTAGTATGAAAATGTTTAGAAATAGCATGAAAACAATCACCTCACTCCCAGGGGCAACCGCAAACCAAATCATTCATGTCCTGTAATAAAATTCCTCACTACCACGTGGGTGGTGACAAGTGACAAGCGAGCACAGTAGTCCACCCGATGGTAAGTGGATGTCGCAGCCCATATCTACCTTCGAATCATAATTAAAATGCTGATGCGTTGTCGCCCCTGATGGCAAAGATGGAATGCCTCTTTACCAGTAATCTATACTCACGATAAGAAACACAGAATTATTCTGCTGCTGGTATACTGTGAGGGCGTGGTTCTACCCCGGTCGATTCCACCCTTTCGTGCTGCAGCAATAAGCACGAGCATGGCTCTGTTACGTAAAATATAACCACGTCGTTTACGACAGACTTAAAATACCCAGACTGGTGACAGGCAGCAGTGTCAAAGCTGCGAAATGTCTGGTGTTACGATCGTCAATCCATTGACCAGGAACAACGATTAAGGTACATACTCTACAACGGGAAAGACATATAATAATAATCATCATCATCATCATTACAGCCCTTCACAAGGCCACTGCTGAACATAAACCTCCACGAGGAATGCACGCACGGTCCTGAGCCACCTGCATCCATCGACTTCTTGCATATCTTACCAGGTCGTCACTCCATCAGTCCCCACGCCACACACTTCGCCTACCATATAATAATAATAATTGTTTATTTCAGTCAAACGGCGTAATATATATATATCATTTATTATTATCATTTATATGCCCAGATATGAAATTTCGAAGGCTAACACGGAAGAACAATAAGATTTTCTTATTTTTTTATAGGGTAGGGTGATAGACCAGCACACAGTCCATCTGATGGTAAGTGGTTGCTGTGGCCCATACACATCGACATATATCCTCGATTACGATTATCAAAATGCAGATACGTAAGTGCTATAAAAAAAGTCCCACCATCATGATCAAAAGCTTTCACAAGTGCACTGCTGAGCATAGACCTCCTCCAAGGAATACTACCAAGCATAGTCCTGAGTCACGCACATCTTGCAAGGTCTAGGTGGTCAGTCATTTTAGGATGGACCGTACATCGCTTGCCGGTACTAGGTGACCACTTAGAAGCTTTTTTCGTAGTCGGTTCAACGAGCTAGAACATCCCATTGTTATTTCTGTTATACTTCGAGTTACTGATCCGCCGAGCTATATCTGTTATTCTGGTTATACTGTGGATTTCTTTCTTTCGAATTTTATCATGCAGAGAAACTTCCATCACAGCCCTCTGAATGATCTTGAGCTTTCTCATGCGATTAGCTCTCAAGGATAACGTCATAATATAATATTATCCCTGGCAACACGCACTAATTGTATACACTTTTACGCAGGTTTTAGAAATATGTTATTGTTTTGCAGGAGGGCGGGGGGCGCGGTTCAGGTGGCAGCAGTCCGACGGGCGGCGCTGGTAGGGCCGCGGGGCTGGCGGGGGGCGGCGCGGCGCTTGGGAGCGCGGGGGGAGCGGGGGCGCCCGCCGCCGCTGACTGGGTGCGCCGCGAGCGCCTCGGCAAAAAGGGCGAGTTCCGATACTTCTAACGACGGCCCTTCTTTCACACATCTCAACATCCCAACATCCCAACCCTACCGACCGCGCCTTTGATCGCACTTTACAATGCATTAGTCTTTGTTAATTCTTGGATAAAATGTATCTTACAAAGACCATCCAAGAAGAAACATCAGGCTCGAAGGACCATATTTTTCTTCATAGATGGTTAGACGAATAAATCAGTCGCTGGTAAATTATATGAAAGTTTCATCTTCATTTTGGTCTTTCGTTGCAACCGTTTTCCGTTCTAAAAAGAATCGATCGTGACACAGGTGGAACTATATATAGTTATTTCCGGTAAACCTGTTCCGGCAAAACGTTTCGGTAAAAGTTTTCCATCGAATAACACACAACTAAGTAACGCGGCAGCGCGTAAAATATTATTGTAACCAAAAATAAGAAATTATTTCTCTCGCTATAAGTTTTGATTTAGTATTTGATTCGTTTTTTAATTATATCTATATAATTGAGCAAATATTTGAGAGATAAAGTTATTCCGCGCTTACATAACACCACAAACATAAGACCGACTGCATTTGTAACGCCAATTTTCCCGCTCAAACCCACCAACCCTCCCCTCCCCTCCCTTCCCGCTCTCTACCATCCTTGACCAAAGTGCATTCGCGCGTATCCCGCGCAGTCCTTCTGGACAACCCTTAGTCATAATTTATAAATAGAAGTAAGATATAAGATAGAGTTATCTATTATGGAACAATTACTAAAGCTTATGAGCCCGACGTTTTAAGTATCGGGGCTCGTCGCGGCGCATCGCGGCCGTGTGTGTGCATTACTGTTGTGTGTGTTCCGCTACGCTGTCGTGCGTGTTTGGGGATTGTTGTAGCTACATATGTGTGCGTAGTTTCAATAGTGTGGTAATAATATGGGTGAAGCCTTACGCATCATTTTGAATTAAGAATCACTTTATTGTATATTTGACAGCTTAGATCTATTAATAACCGTATGGCTTCTTCCCACTTCAAATTACATAGCTTTTACAGTATATCCAGGATTTATGAGATATCTTATTAATAACAACAATGCGTTTTGTATTAATATACCTACTTTATCAATAAATTTAGTATACTCGTATACACAACCAAGACTCTCTCTCTCTCTCTCTGAGTTATAATGTCAAAGCTATGTGGTCAAAATTTTGAATTGATTATCTGCTTATGTATGGCCTTCTCGCGGCCTCGACAAGACGTGTCGAGAACATTTCTTCCCAAATATATTGTTACAATAATTTAACGTAGATAAACATCTGCTCATCTATAAACATATAATTTGCTCGATGTGTTAAAACCGTATGTTTCCTTTTTATTAGTCCTCTATAAGTATAGCTTTTGCTATCTCTATATATTGGATTATCATCTTGTACAAGTTTCATCTGAGCAGAGTCTACAAGTAGATATTTAGTCGTACTTAAATTATTATTTTATAAATTTACAAATTATACCCGATTTGTACTGTAAAGCGAATTAGAATATAATAAATGTTAATATATGTTACGCACGAAGTGGGTCCTCTATCGAACTCACAAATCAAAATAAATGTAGTTATAAAAAATATTTATAACCTTGTATAATATTTAAAGCTACTATTAATATTAAAGTTTTTGCAATACTGTTGCCTTCCATATTGTAATATATTTATGTATCGAGTACAAAATTCAAACCATACATATTCTTTTTTTTTACTTTCAATTTAAAAAAAAACTTGGTTACACTATATTTTTTAATTCCAAATACTAATATTATAATTATTTCAATTAATTTAGAACATATTATGTTATATGGATTTTTAAATAAGTCAAATAGGTATTTAATAAATGAAACAAAAAAAATTTGACCCAATAAACAATCCTGAATACTTTAACCGCATTTTAAAGTGAATTCGATAGCAGGGCCCGCCCCGCGCGGCCTCTTCGTCCGTTTTTGTATTTTACATTTTTATAAATTAAAGTTCTTTATAACGCTCTGTTTCTATTTATGCCTTATCCTAACACTGTCCTTTAACACACAGTTTTGTGGATTAAAAATTAAAAGAAAATAAAAAATTCAAAATAATCTTAATAAAAGAATCATGTTGTGTGGTGTGCGTAACGCTTTGCTTTATATATGCTGTTGCTGTGTGCGTGTAGCGCTCACTATCGCAAAGTGTTAGTGCTAACTCTGTGATATGATGGTACATACATAGTGGTACATATATACGGTAAGTATTTCATTATATAAATGTTTGTAAATATGAATAGTGTTTTTAAGAGTAAAATAATCATTGCTATATCAATTTGTGATTCATTATGATTTTGAAATCAAATAACGTTAAGCAACGCATTCGCCAAAATTTTGAGTAATATTGACTGACAAAATATTGGTTTAACCGTTCAAACGTTTGGTACGTTCGTTAGAAACGTCACGTTCGACCCCACAAACCGAGATTCCGTATTTAGGCCACGCAAATAAGCCTTGGTAAAAAGAAGGTCCTAAACATATATGTATCGCCAAAATAATTCGGTCGAACCATTCAGTTCGCATGCTTGATTCATTGTAACGAATGTTGGAGAGTTCGGTGGTGGGATTGGACGGTAATTTCCATTTTTGTGTGTGATTATTGTGAAAAAATATAAGTTGAAAAATAATCTTATATGAAAATATTTTTACAATAGCTTCATTAAGATAAGATAAATACTAGGCTATTCAATATAACACAAAGTCGGTTGCGACTTGGCAGAGCTCGCGGCGCCTCCCCCTCCCCCGCCGCCGCCACCACCGCCGCCCCCGGCACCAGCCTCGCCACCGCCACTGCCTACCATGACGGATACTATAAAGTGTAAGTTCCGATTCAATTCACATAACCCTTCATCATTTCCTACCGTTTAGAGTACAAGATTATATATATATATATTATCGTATATTTTATTTACTCGGTGGTATGACTCCTTTCCTGGCCAAAATTACATCAGTTAGATACCATTCCTGGTTGCCGGCAGCAAAGTACCTTACTTTGAACCGGGAATAAAGCAGGAGTCAGCGTAGAATTCGATCCATCGAGCCGGATCTTACTTGACCATACTTTGTTATAACTCTCATTAGCAAAACCAGATACGTAATTACTCACACTATGGTTGCGATATCAGCAATTTTATTTTATTTCTTACACCGTTCCAGGTTAATAAAAAAAGGAAATCCTTAACATATGCGCAAACGCTGTTCCCTATTGTCGACTTGAATGAAATTAAAAGCGTTTCAAATTGGTAGAAATAGTCTTTCATGAATGTTGTTTACAGCGACAAAGTCCATAAAATCGACCGGCAGTGAGCTGCACGACGAGCTAAAGCTGGTGCTGCCGCAGATCCAGCAGCGCAAGCTTGATATTAAGAAGACGCCGGATATTTTCATACACCAAGTAAGTTTTGCACTAAAATATTCACCTCAGTTTTACTGAGAAATTCCTTTGAATTATAATTTATTTATCCTTTATTACAGACATCTTCAACTAAAGGTTACAAAAGGTGAACTGAATACCTTGTGGTATTCTTTATCAGTCCATCCGATTATTTTAAATTTAATTTTCTTGGTTTGCACTAAAGTGAAAACAAGATTTTTCTCTCTAAGGTTTTTGCATAAATTAGCGATGAAACTACACCAGAGAGTAATATACCAGTTCTGGGGTGTTTCACTCTGCTTAACATTTATTTAGATCTATAAATAATATATTAGAGGTATTTATGTATTTTTTTAAAGTTTTTTCCTTAGTAACACTAATAAGCTCCTTTGAATGATATATATATATATATATATATATATATATATATATATATATACATATATTTCAAACACCTACTAAGGGTTTTTTTACAGGAGAGGGGGGCAAACGAGCATATGGCTCATCTGATGGTAAGTGATTACCGCCGCCCATGCGCATCTGCAACACCATGGGACCGAACGGGATGCGTTGCCAGCCTTTTAAAAAGGAGTAGGCTCTTTTCGTGAAGGTCCCTAAGTAGTATCGGTCCGGAAAAATCTCTGGTGGTAGTCGATTCCACAAGGAAGTTGTGCGAGGAAGAAAACTTCTTTTAAATCGCTCGGTGGTGGACCGCCAGTCATCCAGGTGGTATGGATGATATCGTGAGTTTTGTTGCAATGTGCGATGGTGAAATTGTGCGACTGGAATTAGTCCGAACAATTCCTCAGAGCACTCCCCGTGGTATATGCGATAAAATACGCAAAGAGATGCAACATCTCTTCGCAGTGCCAGTGAGTCAAGCCGATCGAAAAGAGCTCGGTCGCCGACGATTCGAACAGCTCTGCGTTGGATGCGATCAAATGGAAAGAGTTGGCACTGGGGAGCCCCGACTCAGAGATGGGAACAGTATTCCATGAAATACTGCTGAGCACGCCAAACTTTTTAGAGGCCAATTTGGCCTTCTCTTCCAAGTAACCACGAAACTGCACGTCACTCGATATGTCGACGCTGAGGATTCAAATACTGGCTGAGGCAACAAGGGTAGTGCCTTGAAACTGAGGAGATACGACGAATGGGGTTTTTGGGTTACAAATGGTGGACTTAAGGCCTCGTGGTATTCTTTAACAGTTGTTAAGGTTCATTATTATTAATAATAAATTATTATTATTTTCTATATGAAGCCTAAAACATCTTAAAAATAATACTTAAAAAAATGCATTAATAAGCATAAGGATGAAATACGTTCTTTTTGAACAATTAGTATAATAGTGTAGTAAATGCTTAATATTTTCTTTAAAAATCATTATATTTATTAAAGCTCTGCCTAAAATATTCAAAATGTTTTAAATAATAGAAATACAAATACAAATAACTAACATTTTTAATATAACTAGAAAATTGGAAAGTTATTGAGCGTGTTCTATATTAATGGAGGGGTTCATAGAGTTGCCGGAGACGCAAACCTATGATTGTACATATATGTGTATGGGGTGGTCAGATGCCTGACTACTAAAGTACTGTAGTACAATGTATATTCCTCCTACATTAGAGACTATGATACAAAGTTAGTAAGTTCTATGATACAAAATCATTAATATAGAAGGTTTCTTAGATGCATAAGCTTTATAATAGCAGAGTTGTGGATTGAAGTCCCATACATATAATTGTAAGGTCTATGAAATAGAGTAAATATGTGTAAGGATTCATATATATAATATGACTTTTTACACGTGGTAGAGCCATGCTGCAGTATAGTTATAGCACGAATGGGTCGGCTCGACCGAGGTAGGACCACGCTCTCACAGAATACCAGCATAAAATAGTAGCTTAATGCTGCTGTGTTTCGTATGACGAGTGTAGAGAACCGGAGACCTTTTTTACTGGCAACGAGGCTTTCCATCTTAATCCTCACGAGTGACATCGCATCTGCATTTTGATGTCGATGTAGATGTCTATGGGGCACAGCAACCACTTACCATCAAGTGGTCTGTGTACTCGTTTGTCATCCTCTCCAATGAAACAAAAAACGTGAATGCATTATATTGATAGGAATGGGTCTTGAATAGTATTATTATAGTGGTGTGTAGACTGCTTCATTGTGTGAGACCGAGGTGAACTTGGACTCGGTAACCGATATGTCCTAGGCATGTCATCTTAGTGCCGGTGGTAAGCGGGTTTGTTGTAGCAACATGACTTGCTCGTGGACATCATACATCCCTACCGATTGGGCGCGGCATCTTAGCGCATAATATTATAATACATCGGCTATCTTTAGGATTTGTTTTATAGAAGATGGGGCAAACGAGCATGCGGCTCACCGTCACGCTACTGCTATATGCGGTGACTACCATCGCCCATGAACAATCACAACACCAGGGGAATCGCAAATCCGTTGCCGGCCTTTCAGAAAGGAGCACCGCACAACTTGGGGCCCCATTCCCTTGAAGTGAATGGGAGACTTATGACACGGTCTAACCGTGGTGATGCCATACACTTACATTATGTCTGTAGAAGCGGCAGCCTGACAGGTGGTGGCGCTGGTGGCGCTCACGGAGGGCCTTTTATGGCCAGTGTGTCTGTTATTTGAAGTGTTACTTATTTTGTATGGCGTTAACACGCATTAACATGCGCGACTTCGGTCGATGTTTGTGCTTACGCAGTACCAAGGGGCCAAGCCCTCTTTAACCGGTTTGCCAGTTATTTTGCTGTGGACTACAGACCAGTTTCCATCTTAAATTCTCTCTTGGGGGGGGGTGCGTTGGCTGGTTAGCGCTAACCGCACACGGCGTGAAAGCCGCCTCCTCCTATTTTTTCAAATGTGGGAGAGTATTTTTATATAAATGTTGTGAGCCTTTTCCAAGCGAAAGAATAATTTATAAGGAATTGATTTATGTGAACGTGATACAAGTGGAATAGGGACGATTTAATGTTCTTAACCTTTTTGAGTCCTTCTTCGTAAACGGGGTTCCTTAGCTAAAGATAAGTTTAAAGCGCTAACAACAGCTTTCGACTCCTCTGGTTAATATTTATTCTTCTAAGAGACACCTAAAAGAACTAAGTTACTAAACAAGCACAACGTAAATAAGGGTCCTGACTAAGACGGCCACTTTTATATACATACAGAGGGGAGAACCGTTACACAGTCCACATGATGGTAAGTGAATGCTGTGGCCCGTGGACATCATCACATATCCTTAATTAAGAATCAAAATGCAGATGCATTGTCACCCCTTGGGACTAAAATTGAATGCCTCGTTTCCAGTTAAAAAAGTATCCGTTCTCTACACTCATTAACGAAACACAGCAGATAAGATGCTTTTTTGCGCTGCTGTTTAGTGATAATCACGTTCTCACTAAAATCTTTCCCCGGTCGAGCCGGCCCTTCCGTGCTATAGCTTTAATATTGCTGCAGCTTGGCTCTGCCATGTCAAACAATGTCTTTGAAATCTCTTTCTTTTCGAAATGTTTTTCTAAAATCAACTTTCAGAATATTGTCAACAAATGATGAATTATATTCAAATTTTAGATTTGACGGCTCAGTCGCGGAGTAGCTTAGCAATGAGTTGCAGTGCTAAAAACCGCGGGTTCGAATCTCGCACACAAGTATATATATGGTCTACAAATAATTGTTTCGTGTCTGGATATTTGTCAACGTGAAATTTATGTACATATTTAAATTACTCCCACAAGACAGGAGAAAATCGTAGTGTGGAGGTAACTTTTTCATTTCATCATCATCATCATCATCATTACAGCCCTTCACAAATCCAGTACTGAACATAGGCCTCCCCCAAGGTGTGCAACAAAGCACGGTCCTGAGCCACCTGTATCCATCAACTTCCTGCATGTCTTACCAGGTTGTCACTCCATTCATGGCTAGCCACCGGTACGAGGCTGCCACTCGAGAACCTTTTTTCCCCAACGGATGTCGGTTCTTCGAGCTATATGGCCGGCCCATTGCAACTTCAGGTTACTAATCCGTTGGGCTATGTCGATCACTCTAGTTCTACTGCGGATTCTCGGTTCTCTTTCATTTAAACAAAATATATTTTAAATAAATTATTTATTAACTTAATCAAATTACTTGCAGAAATCAAACCCTGATGAGGTAGTGGAATGGCTCGAGGCCAAAGGGTTCAGCGCGACGGCGCAGAAGCAGATGCGAATGCCTGGTCACCAGCTGTTCGCACTGAGCCGTGGGCAGTTCGAGCGTGTGCTGGGTCCAGATGAGGGCAAGCGTCTCTACAGCCAGGTGCTCGTGCAGCGAAACGTGTCCGGGGTGAGTCGCCCGCATCCTTACCCAGGTCTATACTGCTCTCGACTTCACTTCACCTTCACCTCAAGTATCATGTCGTTATTGAACTCATTAATTACCTTGGTTTTAGAAAGAAAGAAAGAAGGAAAGTGTTGTGTTTGCAATAATACACGTTCGTTAGCGAGACAACAACTGATTTATTCCTCTCATAACTCCCTAAATACAATAATACAAATACCCACAACATCTCCCCTTATTAATAAAGATACAAAATTCATCCATCCCCCTTAAATAAAAAAATAACTGTAACACACGAAATTTCTTATAATTCTAACTTAAAATTTATTATATTTATACCTTAAAATTAATCAATAAAATTTTTATGTTGAGTCGGGGGCCTTACTACGTGTGAGAGGGTGTGGCCATGGTGTGGATGCCTCATTATTATTATAATTGAGCACATTTTGAGCAATTTTATTTTCACTTAAACTAGAATTCTCGTTACGCTGATTTATCTTATCACGGTGTTGTGATTTTTTGCATTGCACAAAATTGCCACCCCCTCCATTTCCAGTGATGAAAATATCTTTTTTTATATTTTTAAAATCTTGACTTAAGTAAGACTTAATTAAATGATGCCTATTGCGTCGGATTGGTCTTCCTAGCTTATTATTTATTACATATGAACGAGGAGTATCACCTTATCTATTACAGTAGCGGGAGTTCTTTTCTTACCATCTATACATATTACTTCGTCACCAATGTTAAGTTTACATTTTTGACTGCTGCTGTTTTTCAGAATTGTTTTAAACGTAGATGGGTCTACAACTTGTGGTTTTAGTAAATCTGCACAAACTGGTAATTTACAACGTAATCTGCGACCCATTAATAATTGCGCGGGAGAGTCCAAACCATGTCACGGAGTATTTCTGTAATTCAATAAAGCAAATCCAAAGTCACTATTCCGCTTAGGAGTTTTAATTAACAAAGACTTAACGGTTTGCACCGCGCGGTCACATTTTCCGTTAGCCTGTGGATAGTTTGGTGAGGATGTGCTGTGAGTGAAGCCCCAATCTCTACTAAACTGCTTGAACTCGCGACTAGTATATTGAGTGCCATTATCGCTTATAAGTATTGCAGGTATACCGTGTCGTGAAAATATTTCCTTCATACCGCGTATAACCACTTGCGATGTAATATTTTCTAATTTTTTTACCTAAACATAACTAGAGTAATAATTAACTAAAATAATATAATATTTCTTTCTATATTCAAATATATCAGACCCCACCTTAAACCGGGGCAAATTAGGAATTTCCACCTGAATCATGGGTTCTTTAGCTAATGCGTTTGAACTCTTCCTGCACACCGAACAACGTTTCACATACATTTATATGTCACGTGACATGCCTGGCCAAAATATAACTTGTCTTGTTGCGTCGCTTGCACCGATCTGTACCTAAGTGCCCCTCGTGCACAATTTTCAACATATCTGTCCTCAGGGAACGAGGAACTAAAACAATATTATTTCTAAATATGACGTCGTCTACCACATATAACTCATTTTTTAAAGAACAATATTTTTTAAGATTTTCTATTACGTTATACTTATCATTAGGCCATCCTAATTTATGGTTAAAGATATTTTATTCTCAAAAGAAATATACATTTCACTTAATGAGAGGTTACAATATTCAAGTTATAAATGGGTTATGAGCATACAGATAGCAAATATATATATATATATATATATATATATATATATATATATATAAACATTGAAAAAGGGAGGAAAGAGTTTCGTGACATACAACTTCTTGCTAGTTTAGGCATACAACTTAATACTTCCAATATTATCGTTTTGTGTATTGACGTACAAGTTAGCAATCTTTTAGTAGATAGTAATAGATAAGATGGGTAGTAAGTAAGGTATTTCTTATCGATAACCTTACCGATAACGCTGATTAGCGGTCGGCATATGGACAGGGTCGGATTTAGAACTAATTCATTATATGTTGTTTTAGTTTGCTTTTAAAGATGTTAAAACTATTTAATATTTTTATTTCTTATGGTAGTTTATTATATATTTTAACTCCATCAAAAAGTATGCTCTGCTTACCATAGTTTGTTCGTGCCATAGGTATGTAAATACTATTAGTGTTGCGAAGTACTTTCTTTCCTTTGCCTTTATTTGTTATAAATTTTAATTGTGTGTGTATTTTATTATATCTCTTTATTAGAATACAAATATTATAGCAATATGTTTGATAAATATTCATAATTTTGGTTTCACTGTACAGTTTGTCTGTAGGTGTAAAGAAGTTATAATTGAATAATAGTTTTAATATTTTATTTTGGTTTATTTGTAGGTCCTTTAATGTTATTTTGTAGGTGCACCCCCAAATTTCAACTAGATAATCCAGATGTGGTTTGACTAAAGCATTATAAATTGTTCGGCGAACACGGTAAGGAAGGCATCGAATACAACCATAAAGTTAACCCAGTAGAGAAGATAGTTTCGATCTTATTTTGCCTATATGACCCTTCCATGACAAGGTTTTATCTAGTACTAAGCCTAAATATTTCTCTTCGGCTGACTCGTGTATTGTAGAGTTGTCAATGGTGAGAGAGGAATAACTGCAAATGTTTTTGTTTTTGGGTTTAAATATCATGTACGAGGTTTTTGATGTATTTATTGTAAGCAAATTGGATTGGAACCATTTATGTACTATATTTAGATCTACTTGGGCTCGTGCGATAACTTCTTCTATGGAACGTCCAAAGTAGAAAATACAAGTATCATCTGCATATAAAGAAATTTTCGCCATTTAATTTAAGATCAGTTATGTTATTTATATAAATCAGGAAAGGAAGTGGGCCCAATATAGAGCCTTGGGGAATACCGTACGTAATGGGTTGTGGGGAACTTTGATAGTGACCAATCTTTACAATTTGATATCTTTTATTTAGATAACTTTCAAAAATTTTTAAGGCATGGCCGTTAATACCTATATGAGAAAGTTTCTTTAATAGTAGTGAGTGACTTATTGAATCAAACGCCTTTTTAGGTCAATAAAAATTCCAAGCCCTAAGTTTTTTGCATCAATGTTTTTTTTATTTTAGTAATTAAATCTACCGTTGCGGCTAAGGTATTTGACCTAGGCTGGAAACCATACTGACAGTTTGAAATAAAGTTAATCGATGTTAGGTATATATTTAAGGGTTATATATTACTTTTTAAAAATTTTGGAAACTACTGGTAAGACAGAGATAGGACGGTAGTTACTGGGGTCACTTTTCGTACCTGATTTGTATATAGGTGGGACTTTAGCTATTTTCAGTTCATCTGGAAATATTCCGCTTTCGAGACAATCATTTATACAAGAAGTAAGCCTTGTAAGAATTAAGTCCTTAATACACTTGACTACCTTTGTTGTAATGCCATCTATTCCCGAGCTCGTATTAGGGTCTAGTTGTTCAATTATTTTAGCCACTTCATATTCGTCACATTTTTGGAAATTTGATAGTTCATTAATTGCATTTTTATGTTTGTTACTAAAAATGTATGAATTATTTACCTCCGAAAAAGTCTGTGTTGTCTCGTTAGCTAAGACCGATCCAATTTTTGCGAAAAATAAATTAAATTCTTCACAACTACGATTTCCATCTATTATTTCTCCTAAAAGAGTATTTAGTTTTGGAGGAATATTATCCGTTTTAATAAATTTTTAGGTTTCAATAAGCCTCCACATTTTTTTAGGGTTATTTTTACAGATAATAAATGAATTATAGTAATACTCACTTTTTGTTTTAGCTATGAGTGTTGTTACTTCATTTCTTGCTTTTTTATGTAGCTTTATGAGCTTTTCTTTTTCATTATTTGAGCATTTTTTAAGTTTTTGCCAAATTTTATTTCTAGAATGTATGCTATTAATAATTTTGATATTTATCCAATCATTTTGGGGTGGGTTTTTTATTTTTATTTTACTGATTTTACTTTTAGTTATAACTTTTTTTATTGATTCATTAAAATTGTAAAACTCCTTGCTATCATTTCTAGTGTCACAAAACTCTTCCTCACTATATTTGTACAAAAGATCATAATTAATAGCTTCATATTTTACTCGTTGTGGTGGAACTGGTTTAAATTTCTTTATTCCTACAAAAATTTGTTTATGTCTGATATTGACGAATCATGTATAGCTAAGTGAAAGCTTCTGTCTCTTAGGGTAATTTAATATAATTTAGTAAGGTACATAAATCAAAATCTTTTTTTCGTTTCATTTTTTATCAGTGTTAACTTGCTATTTGAAATTGGAATACTGTTTACAATTAATTTTACTTGATACAGAATTTTTTTATCTAATTTATTATCTAATGCTCAGTCGGGAAGCGGCGCTAAGGTAACCCTTGTTTACTTTCCAAAGGTTTATATCTTTCTACAAACATATTTTTCAAAAATAAGTCATACCATCGCGGCTGACCCCCTGCAGTAGTACCGCACCGAGTGCATCGCGAGACACGTCTACCGATAACAAGACAGGCTGAGATTCAAGAATTTCTGGCAGCACTGGCGCTGTGCAAACACATTCTTTTAATTTTTCGAACGCTGTCTGCTCACTAATTTCCCATCGCCAACTACTATATTTTTTTAATAAATTCGTTAGGGCAAGACCGCGATCAGAATAACACGGAATAAATTTCGATAAATAATTAACGGCTCCCAAAAATCTTTCTAAACTTTTTCTGTCTGAGGGTTGAGGCATCTCGGAAATGGCTTTTACTTTATTAGGGTCGGGCCTGATATCATTTTTATCAAAAATATGTCCCAAGTAAGTAACCTCTTCAACTGCTATTTTGCATTTTTTTTTATTAAATTTTAAATTAATTTCTCTAACTCTTTGTAACAACTCAACTAGTCTTCTGTCATGTTCATGCTTGTTCCGTCACCAGACAATTATATCATCTATAAAACTATCTGTGCCCTCTAAATCTTCTAAAAGCTGCCTTATTTTATCGTGAAA